TTAACTCTGATTTCTCTTCACAGATGCTGCCAGACCTGCTGAGCTTTACCAGCAAATTCTGTTTTTGTTTCTGATTCATTCAAGTTGACTAGATCCATTCATTCTTTCTAAAGTTCTCAGCAGGACAGATGTCAGTCATCAGCTTGTTTAATTCAATCCTTGTGATATCAAGAAATTGCTGAAGGTACTGGATACTACAAAGGCTATGGGCTCTGACAATATATCAAAAATATTATAAACATGTTTACTCCAGAACTAGGTGCATCCTTAGCCAAGCTGTTCCAATACAGCTACAACCTGGCAAAGTGAAAATTTGCTAGGTATGTCCTGTGCACAAAAAGCAGAACAGCCAATATCACATCAGTTTACTCTCGATCATAAGTGATGCAAGGAGTCATCGACAGCTCGCAAACAGCAGTTACTCAGCAATAATTTTCTCACTGATGCTCAGCTTGGATTCTGCCAGGTTCAAGCAGGTCCTGCCTTCATTGCAGGCTTGTTACAAATATGGACAGAAGAGGTGAACTCCAGAGGTGATGTGGAGAAACTTCCCCTGACACCAAGTGAGTGAGAATGGCATTAAGGAGGCCTAGCCAAATTAGAGCCAATCAAAATCAGGGAAAACCCTTCACTGGTTGAAGTCTTACATGGCTGAGAGGGAGATCATAGTGGCTGTTGGAGGCCAATCATCTCAATCCCAGAAAATCTCTTTAGGAATTCCTCAAGATAGTGTACTAGGCCCAACCATCTTCAACTGCTTTATCTATGAGATTCCCTCCATCATAAGTTCAGAAGTGGGGTTGTTTTATGGATTATTGTATAATGTTTCAGCATCGTTTATGTCTTCTTGGACACTGAAACAATCATGTCGATATGCTGTAAGACCTGGACAAAATCCTAGCTTGGGCTGATCGGTGGCAAGTAACATTTACACCATACAATGACTATCTCAAACAAGGAGGAATCTAACTATTACCTCTCAATATTAAATCGCCTATAATTACTGAATCCACCATTATCAATATTTTGGGGGTAACCACTGACCAGAAACTAAATTGTACCAGCCATATAAATACTGGTTTTAACAGAGTATATTTGAGGTTGGGAATTCTGCAGTTAGCAACTCATCTCCTGACACACCAAAGCCTGTCCAGCATTTAAAGGCACAAGTGCTGCCTCACAGAACCAGGGACCCGGCTTCGACTCCACCCTCAGGTGACTGTCTGTGTGGAGTTTGCACATTCTCCCTTTGCCTGCATGGGTTTCCTCTGGGTGCTCCAGTTTGCGCCCACAGTCCAAAGATGTGCAGACTAGGCGGATTGACCATGCTAAATTGCTTGTAGTGTTCAGGAATGTGTAGATGAGGTGGGTTATAGGTGATGGGTTGGTGTGAACTTGTTGGGCCGAAGGGCCTGTTTCCACCCTGTAGGGATTCTATCTGAAGTCTGGGCTGAAAGGGAATATTCCCCACTTGCCTGAATAAGTGCAGCTCCAATAACACTCAACAAGCTTGACACCATCTGGACAAAGAATCCCACTTGATTGGCTCTCCATCCGCTGCATTCAACATTAACTCCCTCCGTCACCAATGCACAGTAAGCAGCAGTACTGCACCAACTCACCCAGGTGACTTTAGCAGCAATTCCTTTCAAACCAGCAACCTCTACACAGCTAGAAGGACAAGGGCAGCAGATGCATGGAAACACCATCATTGGCAAGTTGTACTCCAAGCCACAGTCTGTCTGTTCTTGGAACTAAATTGCCATTCTTTGACTGACATTAGGTCAAAATCTTGGAACATCCACCCTAATAACAATGTCAGTCTTCCTACGTAACATGGGTCGCAGAGGTTCAAGAAGGTGGCTTACCACCAACTGAAACAGCATTAATATTTTTTTCTGCTTGATGCTATTTCAATATACAAGAATAAATCAGAGCACACTACCAAATACTACTCTGCTGGCACTATAACAATTTTAGCTTTATGCTTTGTTTTATCAGTCTTGCTCCCACCTTGGCACTCTCAGTTACTCTCAACGAAATCAAATTTTGTTCATGCTTGATGATATCTACCTATAGTATTCAATAATATCCCACTAAATTTATCAAAATAAACTTTATGTCGACCATACAAAATCCCTTTGCACATTTAATGCTGATGTGCTTCATAAATTTGCGTTGTAATTTGGAGTTTATGTCATTCCTCATATTTATCAAAGATAAACTATTACGTAATTTTAATATGTTGTTGCTCCTGAATAAAAAATGAAAATGGCACTTCAGCATTTCTTTCCCCATGGACAATTTAAACAAAATACAATAGATTGAGGAACAGAATATAGAGATTTCAAGCACATTAGACAACTCCCTGAAGAGTTCAGCTGCCATGCTTCAGTAATCACTGTTCCTTGCACTTCAGCAAGGCATACAGTAATTGACCTCAGAGAGTTTAGGATTAGGTGGTTTGGTCCCAGAGCACACCTTATTTCAAAGGCCCATTAGTTCAATGTACTAAGCATGGCACTCAAAGAGAGATCAAACTGGATCACTGGTAAGATCATGGTGATCTTTGTTTTGGTTTTACAAAGTTGTGCTTCCCTTTATTCCTCCTTTTGTGCATCATTCAATTAACTTAGATTTACTATAGATTTTTATACACTTTTCATTTCATTCACACTCCTTCATTTGGTTAACTCCACTTGAGAACAATGCATTTTTAACAACTATATTTAAAAGGTAATTATCAGCTCCCCTTTAAACTGATTTTAATAAGCAAAAATTTTAAAAATACATTATGAAGAGAATATATTCTATGAGAGAGTATACAATACGTTTCTGCAATGACAAGAGAAATGTGCCTGAGCCATTAGATGTGTCCACTTTTCAAGTGCCGTGCAACTGACTAAAGGCCCCAAAATGAAGTCACTGAATCTGTGCTCCCTACCACATTTGTGTCATTAACCACAAGTGAAGGAATCTATGATTGAATGGTCAGGATATAGGTCATTAAATGGGGTCAGAAGATTCAGAGATGAAATCAACGTTCAGTCGTGGAAACGAGAGATATCACAATCAGAAAGGAGACTTGAAGGGCATAGGGAGGAAAGCTACAATTGACAGAACAACATGGGAAGCTGCAATTTGTAGAGAAAGGTAAGAGAGAGGCTGGAATCAGGAGAGATGAAAGAGAAGCCACAACTGGTAGGGGGAAAAGAGATTGAGAGGGAAGAAGAGTTCAAGATTGCAATGGGAGGAGGTGGGAAACCATGATTGTCTGGGAGGTGAAGTGACAGATGGAGAGTTCACCATTAGTGGGGAGGGACAACGAGAGAGATTAGGATCAACAGGAGTGAGACAGAGGGTGTATTTGGCAAGAAAGACTAAGAAAGCAAGGTTAAGATTGGCTAGGTGGTGGAGACAGAAATGGACGTCAATGGATTTTGGGGAAAAGAGGCCAGCCTGGGTGTGGGGTTGGAGAAAAAGGTCAGAATCAACAGTCAACAATCAGAGTCTGCATTTGTCTGCCTTTCCCCGCCTTTCCCCACTGCAGGCACATGAGGAGAACATGTCAGCTCTTGAAGCCAGGGTGCTGCTCAACGTCAATGACCACTCCCCATTTTGCATAACCCCTTACCATCCATGCTCTATTGTCTTTCCCTTTATATATTGAGTTAACTCCCTTCATTATTGTAATCCCCTCTGCATCCCAATATTCTGCCTCCGATCTCCACCATTAAGTTCCCCAGCCTCTCTTATATGGAAATGACTCCTGGTAATGTCTTCCCCTCTTGACATAGAGTGGACAGAGACCCTGGACTGATCGTGGGCCATCCCCATGAGCAACAATTAGGCAGCCCCAAACGTTTAGTGACGAGACCTCTAACTGATATCTGTAGAGCGACCTGTTCCCATGACTCCTCAGACTGGCTGCACTGGACCTACAGAGCTGATTGTAACTCACTGGTTGGGTATAGATCTCCTGATGGTGACCACCCCAACCAGATATCTGATTGTGCCTTGGACTGGTATGTGATGGTGCCCTTGATTTACTGTGTCAGAAGACCCTGACTAAAGGGTGTCTCCCTGGACTGCTCTCCAAAGACTTTGAGACATGGCTATTTGCTTGAAGCATATCCAATGTGTTTCAAGCACACTGCTGCTGGAAGATGGTGCACATGTGCAATCAATGAAGCAATTTGCTGTACAGCAAACATGTCCACTTGCTTGACTGTTTACTGTCAACAACCAGGATAAGCCTGGTATTTTGTCAGCACTAAATAATGACAAAGTAACGTAGTACTATGAGTTGTTAAGCTGTGGCTAAGGGAACAAAGTACAAAAAGGCAACGAAAGGCAAGGCAGGGATGCTGTGAACATGCAGGTAGGTGCAAAGTGTGTGAGCATTAAGCGAGCAAGTGAGCAGCTTTGCGATGCAGCCTGATCTATTCTTTCAGATGAGTGGATGTGCAAGTGCACCAAGTGTCCTTGCAGTATAATATCAATGATTGGTGCCAGTGCACTCCAAAGCACAGAACCGTACTGTGAGTGGATCAGAGATGTACCATGATGGCATGAGAGGGTGGCACATGTCAGATGCCAGTGTCCATGGACATAAGGTGCATGCAGCCAATGCCCTAGAGTGTGCCCTGGGACATTGTTGCCAGGTGTCTAAGACACTGGTCCAGAGGAGCAAGTGGAGAGCTGGAGTCATTAGTTTCACATTGTGAATTTCTGGTGTCTAGTTTTCTCGCATTGAATGGTAGGATAGGCAGCTGTGAATTAATGCAGTTAATGAGGGTGATGAGGATTATTGCTTAATAGGTATCTCACCACTCCCTAGGAAGAATCTTGTGTCAACACCTACAACTTAGTTGGAATATATAACTAGTTGCTCCCGAAGTCAAGAAAACTTTCATGCAATTCTCATGTTGTTCAGGATCCTACAAGATTCTGTTCATCATCTTAATTTCTCTTCATCTGATAAAAGAGCAAATTTTTCACAAAAGTATCTTTCAATCAAGTACTCAGCCTAGACATGAATTAACATATTGCTATTACATGACAATGTAAATAATAATTATGAGTTGCATAAGTGAAAAATAAATAAGTATACCTTTCCCTTTAGGCTCTAACCTCGAAGAATTATCTAAGTGCACGGTCGACTCTAAAATAATAGCCTTAAGTGAAAATAGGTTAACATTGCCTTTCTTGAAACTAAAAATTTGACACAACTTAGACTTAACCAATAAAAATAATATTCTGGCTTATATTACTGCTGATTAGGAATAGTCTAAAGGCAGCTTTAAGATCCAGAGAAACAGTATCCTCTATCGTGGCTCCTTTGTCCAGAAGCTGATATGCAAGGTTAGGCCTACTCCATTTCAAAATGCCACTAAGTTAGTTGTTTGCTCTTCCATAGAGGTGAAGGCACCTAACAGTTTTTAGGCACGTTTTAGGTGGAGTGTTAGCAGTAGATTCCAATAAAGCTCTAAACATTGGATTAACGTCTACAACCCAAAGAAAAGCTTCCATGATATTGAACAATTAAGGCTGTAAGCTGTGTAGTCACACCTATTACATTCTGTGACTTGACACAGATTTTGGTGACTGGCCTGATTTCAAAGCCAAAAATCTTCTCCTAAGGCAAGTACAAGGCTCTAAGCCCTTTGACTCTGAAGTCAGGGAAATTCTTCCATTATGGAAATGCGTCACACTCTCACATCTTCCTCCAGCTCAAACATACTCTGTGGGCTTGATAGCTGACTGGTGAGATACACAACTACAGGTACAATCTTTGTCTTGGCTGCAGTAGTTCATGGCGGGCTAACTCCTTGTTTTGGTCCATGTTTGATGCATGTAGTCATCCGCAATCTGTATAAATACTTGCTTCTCTTTAACAGACAGTGATCCTATGGTTCCTTGTGGACTATAGCTAATTACTTCACCTCAACTCATTTCAATCTGTGGATCATCCAGTTCACATCCTAACCAATACTATCTAATTCTAAGCTAATGCATTGGAATTGAAAAGAATGCATCTCGACCAGTTCCAGGTCTTGTTCATGCAGAATATGGCCTTTTAAATGAGGGGATCCACTGTAATGCTCTAGCACTCACACACATTATGTGCAAGTTCTTCCTAGAAAAGCTGTTGGCGATTTAGATAAAGGTTAAAAGTTCAGCATTGACTGTCAGATGATGCAAGAATAGCTGAAATAAAAGTTGTGATCCTGTTAAAGTGGAGGAAGAGGTTTTAATGTTATGCATTGAAGGAAAGGCCATGACACAATGCTGTAAAGTCTGAAGTAAGTGTTTCTTTTAACTGGTATAAAGGATTATTTGTGCAATGGCACTTTTTGTGTGAAAGATGGTAAATTTATTTCATATAATACGAAAATAGATAAAATTATATTATAACTAATTGCTTCAGTTAGTTGCATAAGGTACATAACCTTGATGATATTTTTTCAAGCATAATGGCTCTAATGAACTTCCACTTAATTACAAGATTTATTCATTCATTCATGTGTACTCTGCCTGAAGGCAGGTCTTCAGTATATCGTCTGCTGACATTTCATCCTAAGTTGTATTCTTGGCGATTTCTGACAGTAGTAGTTTTGACTATTGTCTTCTCTCAGGGACAGGATAAGGATACATGTCCCAAGTCGATCTCAGCCTAAACATAAACCAAACCCACAGTGGTGTCATTCTGCACAACACAGTAACCATCCACCTGAGCTAATTGACCCCTAGATTACAGGTTAAAAGTTAGCTTAAAATAATCATGCAATATTCAAAGAATGGGGTCTTTAATAAAGGCTTGCTTTCCTGAAGAAAAAACCTCTGTAAGTGAAAGCACATTGTCCATTATCACAAGCATCAATTCGAATTGATGCTTATGATAATAGACATTGTGCTTTCTCTTACAGGGCTTTATTTCAGTAAAGCAAGCCTTTTTTAAAGCTCCAGTGAGTTGTAATGAGGGTTTTTAGTGTTCCAAGAGCCCTATGCCTGCTATTACTTTTCCCTCCTACTTCTCAACGAGTATGGGTAACTTTTGGTTCTTCGTAGTTTGGAAGTGGAGCATCTTCTTTCTGTCTTTTTGCATTTTTTTAATACAATTTGTCACATCATGTTCAGACATTTAGGTTTGTGTCTCATCTGTACCAATACTAAGTCTGAAATGACTTGTCAAATTCAATAAACATCACATGCCCCACCAACAGCACAACCGTTACCACCTTTTGAAAGTTTCAGCAAGGTGTAACTATCTACAACTCCCATTTTTAAAGAAGAGAAAGAAAATGCTGAAAATCTTCAGTTAAACGTGTTGCTTTTTTGGATTATTCTGTTCTTGTCATGCTATCATATAAGCTATGACTGTGCACCTTGTTCTGTTCAATACATGATCTAACCTTTAAATAAAAATAGGTTATCTTTTAGACAGTGCTTCAATAAAGTAGCTCAGTTTATTGATCAAGTTAATTATAAAGTTCTTTCTGATGAATGGAGTCTGCTGACTCAGAATTATGACTATGAACATGAGTAATCCTATCAATGGTATGCATATTTACAACTTGATGCCTGAAAAAAAAATCAGTTGGCATTGAAATGTAAACAAAAAATCATGGCGCAGTTAAAATAGTACTGCTGCACCTTTTCCTTGAGTTTGGATGAGAATGCAGTATGAATGACAATGCCAAATAGCACTAAAATTTCCAAGAGAAAAGGCAGAAATATTAAGTTCGGTAAGCTTTATTGAGGCCACTAGAAGTTAGTAGTAGTGCACTTGCAGCTATTCAACAAGGAATGTATATAAATATTTACAAATCATAAGTGTTCTTATAATAGCCCCCCTTATTTAAAATTTACTCTAATTAAAATTTCCACAGCCCTAATAACAAATTTATGATCATGGCTACATGTCAAGAAGTAAGCTTTGAACAAAGGCTAGGCAGCAGGAAAAGTCAAAAAGTTGCAAACAACTCATTAAGTACTATCTGAAACCACAAAATTACAGATAATGGAAACTAACAACAAAATGTTCCACCTGTTCTATAATAAATGTACTGTGTCAGCAAGGCTCACAGTTGGTAGCACTCTCACCTGAGTCACTAGGCTCCTAGTTTAAGTTCAACTGCAGGGCTTGAACACAAAAGAATCAGGTCTGTCACTCCAGTGCAGTATTGAAGGAGGACTGCACTATTGGAGGTGCTGGATGTTGGATGAGACATTAAATCAAACACGATCTGTCTGCTTTGATGAATGCAATGTATGCCACAGCATTATTTCAAAGAAGAGTAATGGAGTTAGCCCTAGTGTTCTGGTCAATCTCAATCCCTCATTCAGCATCACAAAATCAGATTACCTGATCTTTAACTGCTGATCATATGAGTTTACTTGGCATGAATTGGCTGCCACTTTTTGGCACTAGAGATTTCACTAAAATTCAAATTTATATAATTAGTTGTGAAGCATTTTAGACCTCTGGTGGTAATGAAAAAGATTTTGAGGCATTTGGTTGTCATGAAAAGCATTATATAACGATGGCCTTTTTTCCTCTAATGTTCCTTGTCCCAATGGCCATTAATGCAACATTAGAAGTTAAGTATAAAGATGTTTCTAAATGATTAAAATATGAACATAGAGATTGTTTGCCATTTGGCCTTACAGAAGGCTCCATAAATAGTTTATAGATTCTGGAATCTCTACTTCTTTTTGCTAAAACCTTAAATAGAAACCAAATCCTCATAACCATAAAACTGGTTGGCACAGTGCATCTTCCTGTTACAATTCCTTTCACCCACCTTTTTCTGAGTGATTCGCTTTGATGGAGCATTAATGGCAAGCTGGTCCAATGGATAGACAACCTGCCGTCTCCGGCGCACGGGAATTAGATAATTAAGGGCAGATGTGAGGGAATGAGCATATGGACTGTTTACCTGAAAGAGAAAAAATTACGGTTGTTTCCAGAAAGTAATGTGAAATTAACTAATTTGATTCTCAATAAATCTGAAATAAATTGTGCAAAGCTCAAGAACGTTTAAGCCAAAGAGTCTGAAATATCACTGAAGTTTAGGTCTGGGTTTCCCTTTTTAGGTTGGAACCAATAAGCCTAAATTTGAATCATAAATAATAATATTGTTGCCTCTATGGAAATTGTAAAAAAGTAAACGATAAACTTATACTGACAATGCATGACAATTACCAAATGAAAAATTTCTCTGCTTAGTACAAATCAGCCATATTTAATTTAAAAATTATCAGAAACATCTTTAGTTTAGGTACATTTAATTTTGCACCAAGTCAATATTTAAACCTAATCAAGTGCATATATCCATGTCCAAATTTGTGCATAATAAATCATGTAGTTCACAAATGTGCATTCTTGACATTTTGCTGACAATTTCTGTACATATAGATAAAAAATAAAATACATATTTTAATAAATTAAGTTGTATATAATTCATTTATAACTGGAATAATGCAATATCTGATAAATGTAATAACAATGTTGTTTTACCTTTTTAAGTAATAATCTTGGATAAACAGGGTAGTATAGGCAAGACTTAAAAGTAATCCGAAGTATTTCTTTGAGAAAATGTCTGGTATAATGATGGAAAATTGGGTTCAAAGCAAAGTGATAGAGGTGCCCATGTTCTTCACGTTGGTGATGGTCAAAGTAGATAAAGTTTTCGATGTTATAATGCGAACGGATATATTCAATTTGCTAGGAGAATAAAATTCACACTGATCATAAGAAAGAATATCTAAGCTATTGCAGAAAAGGGAATATTTTTAAATTGAACAGTCATAAATTAATGTTTGAGAGAAGATTTGAAATGTACCTACTGAGAGATTGGCTGCATGAAACACACAGTATATATATTGTAAGATTCCGCTACTAGCACTGAGACTAAGAAAGGCCATGGAGCAAAGCCTCACAAAAATTAATTTTATGATGGATGCACTTCCTCTATAAAAGTTAGTTCATTCTTCTAACACATACTGAAACCATATGTGGATGTTGATTTCCCAATGCAAAATGGCATACAATAGAGTTACTTTAAAGTGTTTTGAATTTACAGCACAAAAATAGACCATTAGGCCTATTGGATCTCTGTCCGTATCGATGCACCACATGAGCTACTTCCCACTTCTCTTCAACTAATGTTCTCAGCCATTCCTTCCATTCCTTTCTCCTTCATGTGCTTATCTAGCTTCCTCTTAAATGCAACTATGTGATTTGCCTCAATTACCATATTTGTCCCGTTCTCTGGATAAAGTAGATTATCCTGAATTCCTTGTTGGATTTACTGGTGACGATCTTATATTTATGGTCCCCGGTTTTAATCTCTCCCATAACATGTCTTCCGCATGTAGACTTTACCAAACCTTTCTTGGTTTAAGAAATCACTAGTTGGTCACCTCTCAGCCGTCAACTTTCAAGAATGAAGAGCCAAGTTCATTCAGTCTATCTTAATAAGTACACACTCCCAGTTTTGACATTATCCTTGTAAAATTTTGTACATCTTGTTATAATCTTAGATGATGATAATGCTGGACGAATCAAATCTCAGAGTAAAACTTGGCTTGGTGGATTGTAAATTTAATTTTGCAGTTGATTTATGTGGTGGTTAGACATGCAACATATTCATAAGAGGCTTCCAATATTCTTTAACAAAAGAACCCAAACACATAAAAGAAAGAACAAACAATATATACACTTCTATTTATATATATTTATATACACAATAGAGTCATACTGCATGGAAACAGACCCATCGGTCCAACTAGTCCATGCCAACCATGTTCCCAAAGTAAATAGTCCCACCTGCCTGCATTTAGCCTATATCCCTCTAAACCTTTCCTACTCATGTACTTATCCAAATATCTTTTAAATGCTGTAACTGTACCTGCATCCATCACTTCCTCTGAAGGTTCATTCTATACACTAAGCACTCTCTGTGTAAAAAAGTTGCACTCATGACTTTTAAAATCTTTCTCGTCTCATATTAAAAATACATCCCCTAGTTTTGAACTCCCCCACCTTAGGGAAAAGACTTTTGCTATTCACATTATCTATACCCCTCATGATTCTCTAAACCTCTATAAGGTCACCCCTCAAGCTCCTATGCTCCCGTAAAAAATGCCTATCCAGCCTATTTTGTAACTCAAACCCTCCAGTTTAATAATATCCTTCCTGTAACAGGGTGACCAAGAACTGCTCTTTTAACATTAACAGCAAAATAAAATTCAACATTTTTCCTATGAATATTCTTACAAGATACTGAATCCCAGTAAAATGCCACTCCTAACTTAACTCTTTCATTTTTACTTAACAGACTCTTGTCAGTTTTGATGAGCTTGAGAGTTTACAGTTCAGATGATCTGGGTTCCTTTTCAGCTGGATGCGCACAGTCCTGATAAGTTAAACGTCTTTTCAGTTCCGACAGGGTGAAAACTTCTGCACAAATTCTTAGGGCTTACAGACTCCATAAACTAATCTGGCCTTCTGTGAGTATGAAACTGTTCTTTTGAATTGAAACCTGATTCTGAACTAAACTCAAAATACTGGCCTATCTCTGCCTTAAAAATATTCATGGACTTTGCTTCGAACACCTTTTCAGGAAAAGGGTTTCAAAGACTCATGACCTTCTAAGAGAAATACATATTACCTGGTTTAATATCCATGATTTATAAATAGTGACCCCTAATTTCAGATGCTTCCATAAGAGGCAACATACACTCTACGTCCACCCTGTCAAGACCCTTTGAGATCCTCTATATTTCAATCACTCTTACTCTTCTAAACTCCAGTGGATGCAAATCTAGTCTGTACAACCTGTCCTCATAGGACAAGTCCCCTGTTTCAGGTATTAGCCTAATAAATCTTCTCCAACTACAAAGCATTTATATCCATTTTTAAATAAGGTGACCAATATTGTGCACAGAACATGGGTTGGAACAGGATTCTATATAACTGAGCGTAACCTCTTTGGCTTTTGTATTCATTTCTCCTTGAGATAAATGATTATATTCTATTAGCTTTCCTAATTACTTGCTGTACCTGCATAATAATCTCTTGTGATTCATACACAAGGACACCCAGATCCCATTATATCTTAGAACTCTGCAATCTTTCACCATTTAACATACCTTTTATTCTTCCTGCCAAAATAGACAGTTTCACATCTTTGCATATTATACACCATTTGCCACATATTTTCCCAATCACTTAACCTATCAATATCTTTACATAATCTTCTTGTGTGCTCTTCACTTTCCTATCTATCTTGTGTTGCCAGCAAACTTTGCAACCATATCTTCCTCTTCTGTCCCTTCATCTGAATCATTTATATAAATTGTAAACAGTTGAGATCCAGCATTGATCTCTACGGCAACTTTTAGAAAAAGACTTATTTACTTTCTGCTTCCTGTTAGCCAGCTAATCTAACCGTGCCAAAATGCTACCACCTACACCATAACCTGGGATGTGCACCTTATCAAATGCCTTCTGGAAATATAATTCAGTACATCCACCAATAGACCTTTATCCAAATCATGTTATCCCAGCAAAGAACTCCAATAACTTGGTCAAACATATTTCCCTCATATAAAACCATGTCGACTCCGTCCAATTGCTTTGAACTTATTCAATTGTCCTGCTATTACTTCTTTAATAATAGCTTCTAAATTTTTGCAGAAATTAAGCTAACTGAAATGAAGCTAATTAGTCTCCTCCCTTTTTGAATAATGGAATAATCCATTATCTCCCAAACTTTGGGACCATCCCCAAATCAAGTGATTTTTGGAAGATTAAAACCAATGCATCAATTACCTCACTAGTAACTTATTTTAGAACTTTAGGATGAGGTCTACCAGGACATTTTTTTTTATCATTCATGGGATGTGGGCATCTCTGGCTAGACCAACAGTTATTGCCCATCCCTAATTGCCCAGAGGGCAGTTAAAAGTCAACCACATTGCTGTGGGTCTGGAGTCAGATGTAGGCCAAGTAAGGATGGCAGCATCCTTCCCTAAAGGACATTAGTGAACCAAATGGGCTTTTCCAATAATCAACAATGGATTCATGGTCTTCATTAGACTCTTTTAATTCCATATATTTATTGAATTCAAATTTCACCATCTGCCATGGTGGGATTCAAACCCAGGTCCCCAGAACATTACCTGGGTCTCTGGATTAACAGTCCAACACGATAATACCACTAGGCATTGCCTCCTCATTGACATGACACTTGTCATCTGCATTTTCAATAATTCACTCAGTAGCATTTTTCTGATCACTGTGATTTTCCTGAGACTCTCCCTCCCTTCCATTCTTGATATGTCACTGTTTCCGGGTTGTTACTTCTGTAGTGAAGCCTGATGCAGAATTCTTGTTCTATTCATCTTTTGTTTCCTTATTTTCCATTATTAATTCTCCAGTCTTAATGCTCACTTTGTTAACAATTTTATTCTTTAAACATTTATAGATATTCTTACTATCTGTTTTATATTTCTGACTAGCTTTCTCTCATACTCTAACATTTTGCTCTTTGTGAATTTTTTGGTCTTTACTTTTTTAAAAATATTCTGACCAATCTTCCGATCTGTCAACTGTCTTCACACAAATGTATGCTTTTCCTTTAAGTTTGATACGATCTTAAACATTTCTAGTTAACTATGGATGGTCCATTGGAATTTTTCTTACTGTTTCCTTTGAATATTTGTGATAGAAAATTTGAACTTTGATCTGACTGTATTTATTTGGGTAACCTATATCTTGTAAAATACGAAATTAACTTTTCCACTACCATTTTAGCTGCAATTTTCTCCAAAGGCACTGCTTCGGAAAATCTTGTTGACACATTCATAATTTTTAAAGGATTTCCACTCTTGGTTTCTGGTGGGGGTCCTAAACATTCTATTAAGATCCTGATAAATGGTTGTTGAAATCTGGTATCAGAATTAAAGGTGGAAGTTTAATTGGTGGTTGAGGTTTCTCCACTACATGTATGATATGTCTGGCAAAATTTCACAAGATCTTTATGTATTCCTGGCTAATAAAAATGTTTTGGTATTTTAGCTGGCATTTTTCTGATGCCTAAACGAACTGCCATTGGAATTTCACGAGCTATTCATAAAATTTTGTTGTGATACTACTATGCAGTTATAATTCACGTTTATTGCTATTGAAATTCATTGCCAACTACATCCGCATTCTGCAAAAATTACTAACATCTTTCCAATATATACCATACAACATATCTGGGGTAGTTTGTGAAAATTTTAATAATGCTCACACATAGGATTGATTTTAAGTTTCAACAGTGGTGGAAAACTGGCAGTAGTAGTTCACCCACAATTACAGATCCTATCTAATTCTCCTTTCCCGATGTCAATGGAATGGAAGACCTAAATAATTAGTCATTGATTGTCTACCATAGCCTTGCAGCCATCCCAAAACATTAAAATCAGCTAAAATCAACTCCAAATCGTATACTTAGGCTTCTGATATGATGGCTAATGGAAAATATTACAAGTTGTACATGCAAAATGTGTGACACAGTAGTTTAAACATTGGTCTGTCATCTCCATGGCCCAAGGTCAATATATTGAAATGAATTTGGGCATTGTCAATATATTTGCTCCCATGTACTTCCACTGTTATTAATATTTCAATAATGGTTGGGTTTCCTTTAATATGTACGCTAATCATGCAGAAACGGTTACTTTCCATAAATATTATGATACCCACTGGATTTTGAAACATTTGTTTCAGCTTTACGTCTCATCATATAATAGGGAAGTAAGGATAAGGAGTAAAATAATTCAAATTGAACCCAATTGGGAATGGCAGTGGGGTAAAAATTGTACATCAGACAGTTTAGGTTTATTTTTGATAATTACAAGTGCTTTGATTCCTTAGTGACTGAATAATGCATTTTTTTTCTCTAATCAATTTGTTCATAGATGTTATTACCTCTGGAGCAGGTAGGATTTGAACCCAGGTTAATACTCCTGTGCTGTTAAAAACTATTGGATAGTTGAAGGAGATATTTTCTAATCAACCTGTTCAGAGATGTTATTACACAGATGTTATTCTTAAAAAAAGCTAAAATGTGTTTCCAGTAAAATTTGTACAATGTTATAAATTAATTGATACCTCTTCATTCCTGATGATAGCAATTCCCACAATTTCTTGTAGAACCTCAGCAACAATTGCCTGAATTGGAGTTCCATCCTAGTAAAAATAAAATGTAGAATGGCTAACATGCCTATTGCCACTTAAATCAGAAAATCACTCTGTATGTAAACTGAAAACATTGTAGACTTTTGCATTACAACTTCAAACTTTGGGGCCAACACAATTCTTTGTGACAGATTGAATAAAAGTTGGTTCTGGGGAAACACATGCTGTATAATCATAAAATTTTACAGTACAGAGGGATACCATTCGGCACATTGTGTCTGTACTGTTCTGAGAAAGGGTCATTGGACCCCAAATGTTAACTCTGATTTCTCTCCACAGATGCTGCCAGACCTCCTAAACTTTTCCAGCAATTTCTGTTTTTAAGTCTATACTGGCTCCTGAAAGAGCTAACCAGGTAGTTCCATCTTCCAGCCCTATCTCTAGTCCTATCTCTAAATTCACCACTTTCAAAAATATAACCAGCTCTCTTCTGAAATCTCCTATGGAATCCACCTCCAATACTCTGCCAGGCAGCGCATTCCAAATCCTAACAACTCTCTGAGTAAAGAAGTTTCTCCTCATCTCACTCCTAGCTCTCTTGCTGACAATCTTGAAATTGTGACCCCTAGATACTGACATACCAAGAATGGGAAGAGAATATCCTACTTTACCCTACTAAAATTGTTCATAATTTTGAACATTTCAGTAAGATAACCTCTTAATTGTGTCTGCTCCAAGGAAGATAAGCCTACCTTCTCTAATCTTTCCTTGTATCTAAAATTCCTCATTCCTCGTATAATTGTAGTAAATCTCCTTTGAAATCTCTCCAGGGCTTTAACATACTTTCTTAAATAAGGTGCCCAGACTGAACACAGTACTCCAAATGTAGACTTTGACTTGTAGCGTTGGAGAAGCACCTAGTCCTTGCATTTATATACTATATCCCTCAATTTATAAACCCAAGGATTCTGTAAGCGTACTTAACAGCCATTTCAATTTGCCTGGCTTTCTTCAGAAAGTTATGCACTTGAACCCAGAAGTCCCTCTGCTCTTGTATCAACTTAGATCTTCTCTGGTTTAAGGGAAGGAACTGTCCTTTTAATTTTTGGCACAGACATTCAAAAAAACAGCTAATTGCTTACAGTAAACCACTTCAGCAATTCAAAATATATGAGCTAACTTAAGTGTTGGGTCAAAAAAAAGAGACTTGTGATATTGAATAGTAATAAGTAGAGACCTTGTTTTAGGATATCCACTCTCTAATCTTGAGAATATTGGAAAAGAGAATGCTTCATATTGGTTTCAGAGATAGCAGGAACTGCAGATGCTGGAGAATGTGAGATAACAAGGTGCAGGGCTGGATGAACACAGCAGGCCAAGCAGCATCAGAGGAGCAGGAAGGCTGACGTTTCGGGCCTAGACCTTTCTTCAGAAATGGGGGAGGGGAAGGGGGTTCTGAAATAAATAGGGAGAGAGGGGGAAGCGGATAGAAGATGGATAGAGAAGAAGATAGGTGGAGAGGAGACAGACAGGTCAAAGAGGCAGGGATGGAGCCAGTAGAGGTGAGTGTAGGTGGAGAGGTAGGGAGGAGATAGGTCAGTCCAGGGAGGACGGACAGGTCAAGGGGGCGGGATGAGGTTAGTAGGTAGGAGATGGGGGTGGGGCTTGGGGTGGGAGGAGGGGATAGGTGGGAGGAAGGACAGGTTAGGGAGGCAGGGACGAGCTGGGCTGGTTTTGGGATGCGGTAGGGGGAGGGGAGATTTTGAAGCTTGTGAAGTCCACATTGATACCATTGGGCTGCAGGGTTCCCAAGCGGAGTATGAGTTGCTGTTCCTGCAACCTTCGGGTAGCATCGTTGTGGCACTGCAGGAGGCCCAGGATGGACATGTCGTCTTAGGAATGGGAGGGGGAGTTGAAATGGTTCGCGACTGGGAGGTGCAGTTGTTTAGTGCGAACCGAGCGTAGGTGTTCTGCAAAGCGGTCCCCAAGCCTCCGCTTGGTTTCCCCGATGTCGAGGAGGCCACAACTGGAACAGCGGATGCAGTATACCACATTAGCAGATGTGCAGGTCAACATCTGCTTGATGTGGAAAGTCTTCTTGGGGCCTTGGATGGGGGTGAGGTGGGAGGTGTAGGGGCAGGTGTAGCACTTCCTGCGGTTGCAGGGAAAGGTGCCAGGTGTGGTGGGGCTGGAGGGGATTGTGGAGCGGACAAGGGAGTCCCGGAGAGAGTGGTCCCTC